AGGGTATATACAATACTTATAACGTTACTTGATCACTAAAGTACATACAGTATTTATAACGTTACTAGTAGATTAGAATATTTACAGTATTTATAACGTTACTTGATGACTAGGGTATATACCCTATTTATATCGTTACTTGTTGGGTAAGGTATATACACTATTTATATCGTTACTTGATGACTGGGGTATATAAAGTATTTATAAAGTTTTTTGATGAGTATGTTATATACGGTATTTTTAACGTTACTTGATGACTAGTGTACATACAGTTATATAAACCTATACATTCTCCCTACTACTGTGAAACGTTAGAGAACCTATAAGAAAGGGGAGAACATCTGTTGTTCTGTTCATATGACTATAACATGTTCTACACTAAGTGTAGCTATTTAAACATATCAGAAAAGTAAGCTAGACCAAAACGTCATCAATTTTGTAATTTGATAAAGAATACATTGTAAACTTCTGGAAATTTCGAGACCTGATCTGTAAAAGTGCCGCAATACTTGCTTACTCGCGATATTCTAAGCATGGAATGATGCAACGACGTCGAAGATTTGATGTACAACATCTTAAAACTTTTCAGGTCATCTGAAAGAGTTTTGGGAGTGAAAAAGGTTAACTTTTTAGATTTATAAGAAAAGGTGGTATAAGTCATATTTTAACATTTCCATCGTGGCTTCAATGTAAAAACGTGTGAACAGGAGACACATGTAAGACATGTACAAGCCTATCTCTCGTGAATCTGACTACTGAGATAAGGAAATCGCCGAAAAAAGAAATAAATATCGTAGGCATCATATTGCTGGTATAAAGCTAGTAAGGAATAGAATCTTGACGATTGTCGCTAAATTCACGGATTGAGGAGAACTGCTACATACAATTTTGAAGTAATTACCAAGTATGAGACTGAAGGTAGGCAAGTGAGTATTTGGACACTAATAAGCTCGGTCCAACTGTCGAGGATTTTACACATTCTGAAATGTAATATATACTTAATATATACTCAATACAAGAAGGCTAATAAGAAAAGACTGTAAATGTCGAAGACCATTATGCTAACAGTTTGGATCGCATTTGTATGTAGCAGCAGTCGCTATTTGACTGACCTCCAGGAGACAGAGCAGCGTCAATTAAACCCTGAAATCTTTGATTTAGAAAAATAGTGTTGATTGTCAAAAAATTGCATACAGCTAATCAGTAGTGAATAATAGCATCTTTAATATCGCATTACATAAATTTATATATACATGATATATGGTAACATTTTACACATAAATATATAATCACATTAATCACCTAATCTTTGTTCAATATAAATAGAAATCCAATCAAATTTAAGAACTATTTATCATTTTTTTTTGTAGAATAAGATGTAATCGTTTTAAATTACTTGGGAGTAAATTAGTACATTAATAATTTACTAATTAAAGTAACCCCAGCTCATCACAAGATCAAGCATTATACACTGACTCCAGAAGAACAAACAACCTTTCCAATTATATGAAAAACCAAGTTTTCCAGCAACAATTTTAGTTAAAGCAGCAGACAACACAAACATTGGAAATCGTGCTACACATTAATTATCTTTGAATAAGTACTACAGAAAGTTGCTTATCCCAGATAACGAAAACTTGTTTTATAGAAAAAAATTTAAATAATAAACTATTTTTCTATTTTTTGATCCAACATCCATTTCTTACTACAATATCAATTTAAACGTTTATCTAAAAATTAATCTCTAGGTGCAGAAGCCTTGGCGATATTAAGGTGTGATACGTTTTACCTCTTTAACCATAGTTCAGACATATTTTATTGTAAAAGACTAATGTTGTCACATAAGTGCGGTCTTAACTGTAAGGAAAATGAGCTAATCATCACCTGACACATTTTGATTCCCGTAAACTACTTATTTATACTTCATCTTTTATTTACAATGAAGTCGCGAATGATAACACTGAATAATCGAACAAAGTCTGAGGGTAATGTGAAATATATAACTTAAAATACAGATTAATTTTTTTAAGTTTCACACTCTCATCACAATATGAACAGTGTGAAAGATATAACATTCAACTAAATACTTTGATATCGGCTTCATAAGTACTACATCATGGAGGGAGCAGAATACATTAACCATTTATATAATGTGAGATATATCCAACTATGGAATCTGCAAACACATGAGAAAATTATTCCTCCTTATTCATAAAAATCATAGTTTTAAAACCCTTAAAGACTGAGAGTTTAGAAAACTTAAGATGAACAACTTTATGTCATGAATCACGAATTAACGTTCAATTCCACATTATCTTATTCTACACATATAAATTTGCATTTTAAATTCCATGTTCAACGTGAGAAATGTATTATTTTAATTTGGCAGAATAACATTAAAAAACAAATAGAAATCTACTAAACGAAACATCTATTGAAATAACTTATTTTATGTAATGTTTCTATGCTCAGTCCTCATTAAAGGCCAAAAAGTTAATTCCTGATATAGCAGCTTAGTAAACTGTAGTGTTTTGTTTTATCTAATAGACTACTTAAACAGCTAGTTTTTAAAACTAATTTCAAATTATTGAACGTCTTTCAATTAATATGTGTGTGTTGCCTATGTTACATCCAACACTTGTGTAGTGTAGTTGTATAACACTATATTTGTGAAAAGTTTAGATATGAAACATTTATCGAGCAGCCCCTATGTGGCTGGGAGAACAGTCTAATAGAAATTTATTGTTTTAGAAATTTCAAGTTGTAGAACACATTAGAGTTCACTTACGCTGTTTACAATGGTGCCGATGTTATATACATATACTCAACCACTTGTCATTCGATTCATCAAATTATATAGAGTTTTCACAAGGGTAAGTAATAACTCATCCTTACTAGCTATTAACTCACCAATTAATGTCTGAATGTCAGATATCTACAGCATAACTGTTTATACGGAAGATAAAAATATCTTGGTCCCCACCACCCGACAGATTCAAAAGTAAGATATCAGGTACTTGTGTATACACATACACTTGAAAATGGCTTTTGAATTGTAGATCAGCAAGTAATTTTTATTGAAATTTTAATAACATATCTTGATTAACAATTCAAGTATGCTAAGTTCAATTCAAGCAATTATGTTAAGTTCTATAGTCTTCTAAGTTGACAATATATCACATTTCATATACAGAATATGTTATCTTTGATTTATGTTAAGAATACTTCTATTAATTTATTTGTCAATAAACATATTCTAACTTTTGTTCTCTTTCTTAGTAATTTCATCTTAACTACCATTAATCTCAATAAGTTTGTACAAAAACTAACTAAACAATTTAAGCCTAGTCCACTACTGCTAACGTTTCAAACTATTTAGGTATGTTGAAATTTCAATTTATTTGAAGAATTTCAAACATATACAGTGGTCAAATTTACTTTACACCATAATGAAGTATAGCAGTATGCGGATCTACGTGTCGCAAGCTACATACATCTAAAAGCAACCATTCAATAACCGTAGATATGTAATCAAAATTGTCATGAAATGTCAGAGCCATAATCTACGGCGGTTGGCAAACACAGCAGTTAGAGCATCACAATCGACGATACGCATTCTGTGACTTGACTAGATTTAAATCTCGATACTATTTAGTTTTGCTATTTTATCTTAAAGTACTTGGAGTTGGTGACAGCCGTCAGCCCTACTTAGAGATAAAATGAGAAGCACAAGCGAAAGAGAATTTAATTGGCTTTAAAGCTCGAACCTGCAATATGATTACACATTTTACTTTTCACAACTGCTAAAGATTTAAATCCCTTTTTTATTGAAAATAATAGGATCAAAAACACGTGGCACTTGTTGAGTTTAACAACTCTCTGGCTGAAAGTCAGTAAAAATACTTTTGTATTATTACTTTGAGAATCTACAGTATGAGTGAAACGGCACACCAGAAGAATATTTTCTATCAACAAAAATCACCTGTACAAGCAGTTAACGTTTATCATGCTTTAGGTAAAATACTGCTCTAGAGGATCATTTGTGGGCTGTTAAAGTATACTTCTTTAAGTTACCACAGCAAATGCGCAAGGATTAAGCAACTCAGAGATGTCCAAAGTTTCACATACTTATAATCGATTGGAAAGTTTCGTAAATGTATTTTTGACTTCTTACTACAATTTTATAATATTGGGTATCTTCTTGGAATAAGAGCATGAAATATCTAATACTGACGTGATTTAATTTAAATTCAAGGATATAGAAGAATTAAGGTGGTATTAATTCATAGGTTATTTTTATTGATTTTTGCATTTTTGGGTGGTAAGAAGCCGAACGAGTCTTCTCTAAACTATTTCGAATAAGCACTATAAATGTTGCACGAAACCATTATATAATTAACTATCTCACCTAATAGAACAATAATACAATGAGTTGTAGGAACAAATCCCTGATTAGGTCTTACTCAAGTTGAAGATTCACATCTTCTTGATATCGGTCGTCCTAGATAAAACAAAATAATAACAAAAGTGAATATTATATTGTAATCTGGTCTCACAAAACAATGTAACATCTGATCAGTTTACAACATATTACATAAATTCTTTGATACATAAATATAATAATTATTTTAAAAATCAAAATGTCCAGTGTAATATGTTTAAAGCACATGTACAGAAACAGCTGGTTTCAACGTTTAAGTCTTACATGAAATACAACTGAATTTATTTTGTACAAATGTGGAAAATAACATAATTAATCAAGTAATGTAAACTGATTTTCCCAAATCATAATTTTAGTTATATTGGCATCATTGTTTTTATAATTTAGTCATCCATGATGTTACATTACATGCACAAATATATATATATATATATATGTATATATTTATTTATTTATACGTCATGAGATAATTAGTGATATTTTTCCTTATACTTTGTTTCTTTGTTAATTCATATAATCTCATTTCACAGTATTTAAATATCTGTATACTTAGAATATAAGTTTATTTGTCTTGTTTGTAATTATGCACAAAGCTACCCAATGGGCTATCTGTGCTCTTCCCACCACGGGTATCGAAATCCGGTTTCTAGCGTTGTAAGTCCGCAAACATACCGCTGTGCTACTGGGGGGGGGGGGCATTTATTTGTCACATTTTCCCGAAGTGGATAAAGCTAAGTTAGTTAGATTGAATTTCAGATATAGTGGGGGTGACAAGTATGAAAAAATAATTTCTCTGATTATTTGTTAATTTTTGAGGTATTTGTTATGCTAACTTTATATATTTGCTGTATTTTACTTAACATGAAGATTAAATTCTTTAACAATTATTACAGTACTAAAATCTAATGGTATAGAAAATGTGACAAAGATAGGAAACATGGGATTTTAGAAGGATGTTTGCAATGTATAGTGATTTTATAATTTATGAAAACATATTTTTCAACAAGATAGAAGTTTACATTAGAGAACTACAGATATACTTAAAGGTAAGGTACTATTCAAGATCAAAGTACCCGTCATATTCTCGTTAACAATGCATAATAAATTGATAAATAATAAATTTTGGCTATATCACAATGTCAAAAGTAAGAAATAGTTATGTTAAATTTGAATATAGTGTTTTATTAACATTATTTTGATTTCAGGAACATGCGATTCAGTGTGTTCTACGAGTTAAAACGGACGTTACTGTTCTTTTAACCTAGAAGTGACTTAACTGCAAATCTTTAACCTTGAGAGAAGTTCCATGTTTATATAAACTGCCAATGAACTCGATAAATTACTCCATTTATCTTTTTTATATACTTTCTATTGTTTTCTAATGGCTCATAATACATGAAACATCAGTAGTAACACTCTAGCTATTAATGATTTTGACAAAACGTTTTAAAACTACCATTCTCTCCATATATACATCTTTTCTGATTAAAGATAAGTTATAAGAGTTTCATATCAGGATGAGTTGCTTAGTGTAATGGTACTTGCTGCTTCCCATAGGATCTTCTTAATTGCAAAGCAATCCACCAAAATCATTAGATAAACTAAGGTTTAATTACTTCTCTTTTCTACAGATTGAAAAAGACGGAGACGAGTGAAAATACATCATCATATTTAATAACATTTTCCAAGATATTCATGATTTTTTTTATTTTTCTAAGCATTCTGTTAAATATTAACTCATATCGGTCTTCTATATAGTAGAATGTGTTTTGTCGACACATTCCTAGAATGATATGATAATAGCTAGCTCGAACAAAACATTCACTCTTTTATAACCATTTTAAAAGGGAAACACCATTGAGTCTTACTACAATTTGATGGCACCTGCGACTTCCTGGGTGTTGTTGTATACAACTACTTTAGACATAATAACTAAAACATGTTACGTATTAGAATTTCAAATTGTTTGAAATTGAGTTAAATGATACTTTAAATTTAGTTGTGAAATTGTACTTTGGATTTAGTATTTAAATATATGCCGATATATCTCCAATTTATGATATTTGCCAACAGGATTGATATACACAGTTTTCTTTTTTAACACAAATATGTTTTGATATACAAACAACAACTTACAATAACAGTTATTACAAATAGTTGTTACGCAATGATTTATATACACAAATTTTAGAAACGCGTAAGCAATATAAAGTATTCTTTCTAGTCTGGAACTTCCTTGATACCTTATCGAAGGTTCACGATGAGCAAGTTAATTACGAGTTGATGTAGGTACAATTCGCTTAACGGGAAGCTAGCTAGCTTTGTCTTTCGTTATTCACCAGCGATGCGCACCGAGTTTTCCACCATTGAAGTAAGGTAATGTTTTCGTAAATGTACTAATTTATGATGAGAATCCACTGAAGTTGGATGATTTGTAATGTTCGGACTATGTAAATGCTCCTGGTCAAATATCTGAAGTGTTCCGATTGATAAGCGTTATAACAATAGCAACTACAGCAAACCAATAATAAATACTCTTTTTTGGGCGCATCGCATTGGTTATATTTATAGGCTTTTGGAGGCTTTCTCGAATTTTCAGTTTCACGTATCAATACTGACGCTAAAACTATCATTTACGTGCACACATATATTGTTGATTCTTATACTCAAGAATCATCTACAACTTTAGAGAAAAGGCGGGAGTTTCGCAATACGTATTTAACACTATAAGCTATGCATATTTTTAAATATAAACTTAATTTTAATTTATAAAAATTGAAACTTTTACCCATTCTAAAATGGGTTAATAAACATAGTTACAGCATTGTATTCAAAGGTTACAAAATCTCAGTATTAGTAGTTTAAATATCTAAAATTCTGTGTAAAGAAGCAAATGAGGAATCATGATGGAAATGTAAATAGAATACTCCGTATATATTAAAGCAAGTGTGTTTACCTAGCCATCCTTTAAAAATTTCCAACGTGATTAAAGTTTCATTTTCGGTTAGAAAATCTATAAGTAAAAATGTTGATGAATTACGATTTCACGTAAGACTCGTCAAAAGTATTCTCAAAGTAACATTAAAAGTACATTGTCGATTCTAAAATAATATAAATAGAACTGACCTAAATATTTATCTTTCTATTAACTTTACTTTCAGATTAAATAATTAAGAACTTGTGAGAAGCATTTCTGTAATTTTGTGTAAGCGAGCAAAATAACCAATAGTCTGGAGTTGAGCATTCCGAACCAATTTTCTAGAAACTCTATAAGAGTCGAGAACCTATGTAATGGAGTCAAGTATTCCGAACCGCTTTTCTAGAAAATCTGTATGAGTATAGAACCTATCTGCTGGAATGGAACATTCCGAACAACTTTTCTAGAAATTGTATAATAATAGAAACCTATGGGCTGTATTGGAGTATTCTAAACCACTTTTCTAGAAACTCTGTAAGAGTAGAAAACCTATATACTGGAGTGAAGCATTCCAAATAACTTTTCTAGAAATTTTATAAGAGTAGAGAAGCTGTATGCTGGAGTGGAGAATTCCGAATCACTTTTCTAGAAACTATATGAGTATAGAACCTATGTGATGGAGTGAAGCATCCCGAACCACTTTTCTAGAAACTCTATAAGAGTAGATAATCTATTTTCTGGAGTGAAGCATTCCCAAACCACTTTTCTAGAAATTCTATAAGAGTAGAAACTCAATGTGCTGGAGTGGGGCATTCCGAATCACTTTTCTATAAACTCTACATGAGTAGAGAATCTATGTCATTGGTTGGCGCATTCCGAACTATTTTTCTAGAAACTCTATAAGAGTAGGTAACCTATGTGATGAAGTGGAGCATTTCGAACCACTTTTCTAGAAACTCTATAAGAGTCGAGAACCTGTGTAATTGAGTCAAGCATTCCCAACCACTTTTCTAGAAAGTTTATAAGAGTAGAAACATATGGGCTGGATTGGAGTATTCCAAACCACTTTTCTAGAAACTCTATAGGAGTAGAGAACCTATGTACTGGAGTGAAGCATTCCGAATAACTTTTCTAGAAATTTTATAATAGTAGAGAAATTATATGCTGCAGTGGAGCATTCCGAATCACTTTTCTAGAAACTCTATATGAGTAGAGAACCTATGTGCCGGAGTGGAGCATTCCGAATAGCTTTTCTAGAAAGTCTATAAGAATAGAGAACCTATGTTATTGGTTGGAGCATTCCGAACCATTTTTCTACAAACTCTATAAGAGTAGTGAACCTGTGTGATGGAGTGGAGCATTCCGAACCACTTTTCTAGAAACTCTATAAGAGTAGAGAATCAATGTGCTAGAGTGTGGCATTCCGAACCAATTTTCTAGAAACTCTATAAGAGTAGAGAATTTACGCTATATAGTAGAGCATTCCGAACCAGATTTCTAGAAACTCTATAAGAGTAAAGAACCTATGGGCTGGAGTGGCGCATTCCTAATCACTTTTCTAGAAACTCGATAAGAGTAGAAAATCTGTGTGCTTACTACAGCTTGGTTTTTACTCATGATTTCCTACATAATAAGTTCACATCTTCCTTCATTAAGCCATTTACCATAAATAAAAATATCCATAGTAAATGTGCTTGAATGAAAACAAAGTCCATACAATGTGTTTCCCATAGCAAGTATTTACAATATGCCAATAGACTTCGTGTTGTATTAATAAATAAACTTAGTATTCCGAAAATTCTTTCGGTAACTGACAGTAAAGCTAGGATGGAGCTTATTTCTCCATCCACGTGTCAGAACAACACAGAAAAGGTATAAATTAATAGTTGGTAAAATTTTCTTATTACTAGTAAAACCTTATTCCATTTTCATCATTCCCTCTCGGCTTCTGGCATTTGACTGAAATTATATTTTATGCATAACTTGTCCGTGTAATTGGAATGAGGGAGAAGGCAGCTTTAAACATCTTATCTGAGCCACTGATAATAGTTAAATTTTTGTATTTATAGTAAATAGATGAAATGTAAATAACATTTATTATTACATAAATATATATAATAAAAATATTGGTTTAACTAACTCA